CGAATTTGAAATGGGTTCCTAGCTTTATTGCAACGATTCTTTGAAAATGAGTGAAAAAAGGGGATCGTTAGCCAGACAAGCCGACTTGTTATTGTACTGTATGTAAAAAATCATTTTCATTATTTACACGTCGACATGCCTGTCGAATGTGTGGTCAACTACACTGCTCACGATGCTTAGTATTAAAAAAGATTCCACATTTAGGATATATAATAAAAGCCGTTCAGATATGTCAGAAATGTTCAGTTGAGAAACAACAATTAGTTTATAAACATCTAATGGCATATGTTAAACATTGAAATAAATAAAATAGAGCATTTAAATGTATACTTAGATCTCATTTATCAGTATAAGCCAAGTGGGAATGAATTTTTCTATCGTCAAACAGGTGATCATTATTATCGACTAAAACAGTACTCATTAGCTCTTCAGTGTTATACCTATTCGAAAATGGATAGTAATAAATGGTTTGAATATGCCATTGATTTGTGTTCTAAAAAAGAATATTCCTATTCATTTACATTTATGAAATTATGTCAACAAAGTGAACAATTTTGGTTAAATCATGCAAAAAGTAATAATTCTATTGTGAGTATATTATGTTATGAAAGAGCCAAATTATCAGTAGATCGTTTATTAGATATAGCATTTGAATTCAATACAAACAATATTGATACTTGTCTACTCTATTTACTATATATTAACAAAATGAAGCTACGCAGTCAGATCACTCTTTCTCTATTTACCGTGTAGTTGTTACCACTTAACCTTTTATAAACAGCAATATAATATAAAAGTGAGGTGGATAGCGGTATTTGTGTTAGTTGTGCTTGTTGTAGAATAATTTCTATTTTATGTTGTTCACATAATAAATAACAATTTAATCCAATTAAATATCTTTTATCATTGAAGTATTTATCGCCTAATAGTCTCCAGTTTGGATGTTTAACATTATTTAACAATTCAAATGCAATACCATCTTGATCTTCAATACCATTTGTAAATCATGACGTATCATCATTATCAAATAATTGCACCCCCATTTTATGGCATAACATAACTTTATAGTATTGTTTTGATGCAATATAATCTTGTTTATATTTTAACCATGATGAATATTGATATGTATGAAAAAATGATAATCGAACAGTAATTGTTTCAATATCTGTTGAGAGACACACATAACTGAGCCAATCATCTAACGATATCGTTGCTGATGCTGTTAATAATTTTGTAAAACAAGAAATATAACTATCATTAGTTAATAAAAGTTTTAAACCACTTTTCTTATGCAAATACGATAATAAATAAGCTAATTTTTCATATTGTTTTGTTTTACTTAATTCATATGCAATATTTGACCATTCATCTATTGTTATTGTACCTTCATATAAATAGAAACAAAACATAGCAAGGTCACCATATTGTTGTTTAGTCGTATCCAAAAGTACTTTTTCACCCACATTTTTCCAATTTACTTGATGACTATATTTAAATTTAATATATAGTAAACACAGCGGCCGTTTTAAAAGTAGTCTAATAGAAATCAAAATGAAGTAGCTTGATCAAAGTGCCTAAGCCAATTCAGTTCATCTAACTTGGGAAAGTTTTGTCTTTTCCCAGGTCAAAGCTGCACGATAGTAAATTACAGTAAACGTTGAAACACCTTGAAAATACGGCTATCGCATCCTTTGTCAGATACGATGACCATCGATGTCGAAATCTTGTCGTTTAGAACGAGCGTAATTCGTCACATACGATCTCACTTTTTTGATAGAGCGCGACGTCCTTACATCAGCTTACGATCGTGGCAAATGGTGGTAGAGTGATATTCCGGTACCTAGTAATCTGCAGACTACCATAGTGTGCTTAGAATTGGACGGATATCGTTTCTTCACATCCAGGCCTTTTTTGTTCGAATTTTAGTTTCCAAAATAATCTCTAACTGATAAGTTTCGTAGAGAACAAAATGTTTGGCCATAGAAGTGAAAAGAGGGGAAAAGACAGAAGAAGCGAATTTCTTTCAAAAGTCTGTCTTATGTCTACGGCACAGATTGTCTGCTGCGTGCTTCCATATTCGAACACTTCTTTAGAGAAAAGAGTGCCCTCTTTGAATGTATAACAACAAAAGCTTTTTCTGTTTAAACCAAGCGCAGAATTAAATTTGATGCGTTCTATTCGCTGGGCTCAACAATGTAAAACCTTGTTCTCAACCTAAAAACTGCAAATGATATTGAAAAAGCATTTTGAGCCGTAAAAATAGCGTAAACAGAACTCCTAACGATTTCAAGTAACCAAGGGGATCGGATGTGTCTGTGAAACGTTACATCGAGTGCAAGACTATTTTTTGTGCAGTATGGTGGAATGGGATTAAATAAGTTTAGCTCGTTACACCATGGGTCAGAGCTGGGCAATTTAATTCCTTTTTTAAACTTCCAGTACGATTCAATTCGAGTACTTTTTCAATCGATTGGAAGGAGGAATCGAACCGAATAAGTCAAAAAAGAATCGAATTGTTCAGCTTTGCCCTGGATCGATCTACTGTGCTTTAACAATTGAAAAACCGGCTATTCCGACCCCGTCTTAAAGTTTGTACCACTGTCCAGTTCGGTTTAATTAATCTCAGCTGGCTCCAAACCGGCAGAACACTGTGCTACACCTCCTAAAAGTTCCTCATCCTGCTAAACAGTCCTACTTAGTTTTTTGTGTCAAAAGTAAGTTACTTACTGTATCACACTCACGTTTCTTACGTTCTCTGTTCCTTGCATCAACACACAGTTACATCCAGAACACAGAAAAGGTATTGTTCTTTTTTTTTACTTTTTCTTTTTCATATTATCTTGACATAACGATATTTTTTATTCTTCATAAAAATAGAAACAGAAAAATAAAACACTCTCAGGGCATCATCACAACTGCTTCTATTTTCCGCTCTTTAAGAAAATGGGTTTACCCACAGAACGTGTTGTTAGTCCGAAGGAGAGTTCAACTGAACTGTTAATTTGCAACATTTGTCATGAATTTCTATGGAAAGCCGTCAGCTGCGACTCCTGTGAAAATTCGTTTTGTACCCAATGCCTCAGTGAATGGTTGGAAAAACAAGAGCCAAGGGTTAAAAAAATTTGTCCAAATGGCTGTCAGTATACTCAACGGCCGAAGCTCCCTGCACTCCTTCTGCAGCTTCTCTCAAAACTCAAAATTACATGCCGAAACGTGAACAATGGCTGTAAAGAAACACCTTCATACGAGCAATTGGAAAAACATGAACATGAGTGTGGATATGAGATAAAGCAGTGTGATGGGTGCAGTCAAGGCTACATTCAGAAAGAATTAAAGAACCATGAAGCAGAATGCCGTGAAGTCAAGATAAAGTGTAATAAGTGTGAGCTGAGATATCCTCGAACAGAAAATCATGATCCGTTAGCGTGTTTGAGTGAGTAGACCGATCGGTTATTCCTTTAGTTCTCGCGATGTGCAGTGTTCTTTATAATTCCTTTTGAAATTTTCTTAGACGATCGTTTTGAAGTACAGCGTATTCGAAATGACCAGTTAGAGAAGCGCATTGAAACGCTAGAAAAGCAGGTGGAAACATTAACGGGTGAGTTAAAGAGAATTTCCCTCTAAAATGAAAAATGTTACTGTAAGCTTTCCAAAAATAATTTTAGGAAGCATTCGTAAGGATGTCTGATAAGAAATCGACCATTTTTAACCCTCTTGTCCGCATTTGTCCGATTTCGGCCGACTCTGCCGCAGTGTTGCCGGACGTCTTTATGGATGTCTCCTTAAGGGTTGTACAGTGGTTACTTAATCACGTTCTGGATAAGGATAGGTTACTAGATCTCCCTCCGAATTTTCGAACTGGCGGTTTTTCGACTGATCTAAGCAAAAAATAGATTCAGAATTGCTTAGAAAGGAAGTATAGAACTAAACTATCCTAAACAGGTTTCGTGTTAACCGAACTTCGCCCAGACTAAAAAGCCGACCATATTCCAAAAGAGATGTCTTTTTCTGTTCGGTCATCAGACCATCAGCAGCTATCGTCAGCCAAACTGCAAATAAATATTCGGTTTTTGTTGACTTGAATTCAACGCAAAGGAAAGCATAATCGAAATCAAAATCCTCTCTCGGCGATTCTTAGGCAAAGCATCTATCGACAAAGTTTCCTAAACAGTCGTCGTGCAGACCTATACACAAATCTTCTGTAGTACACTCCGATGCTCGTTTCGAATTTGACGCCAAATTCAGTTTGAATGGCAGCTGTTTTGAAAACTAGACGCAGTCACGTATTTTTAAAATAAAGAGCCTCGAGGGCTGATAGTGAATGCTAATTGATGAAACGCAAGTCTCTTTCTGTCGATGAAATCGACAGTATTTTTTTTGTGTTTTGATCGCAGAAAAAATTCGAGAAGTTATTTTTTTTGCTTCAGCGTTTGCAGCCCGCCAGCGACAGATAATTGATTTCAGCAATGTGCCAAATGCGACCGCTACCGAGGATAGAGTCCGATCAGGCTATTGTGGATTGAAGTGGGAGCAAATTGGTTATCTGTCTGTTGCACGTGCCGAAGAAAGGTCAAAACAGGGTTCTCATTATATAAATGCTTTCCACGGCGGACAAACACATGTGGCTTACATAGCTGGTGAAGAGAATCCCTCTCTTAGCAGCCTAGTGAATGGCCGAACATTCAGCCTTGATTTTATCCAAGCTAATCTTGCCAGAGGAGACAAAGTAGATTTAACAATCAGTGGATTGACAAAGGACACTGAGATGTATACGAAGACAATAACACTCTCGAACGTATCGACCACGATTTTACTTAATTGGAACAATATTGATACGATGAAACTGAAGCTAACCGCGGATCAAGCTGATAAACTGCGTGCTGCAATTTCATCGATTGCATTATCGTGGACAAGCATGTGCTAGAATAAGTTTTCCAGACGAGCGATTAGGAAGGACAATGTCGTTAGCAGAAGTGTTTCGAAACTCGTCTTCCTCTGCATTTAAAATTAAGCAATAAAGATCAACAAACGAAAGATTTTTTAAACGTACGTGTTCTACGTTTGAAAGGAGATTGTCCACTGCTGCGGAAATGCTGCGGACATTGAAACAGGAAAAACGTTTTGATGGTGTCTTCGCAAGATTTTGCAAAAACCTCAATTAAATGAGGTTTAAAAAAGTTTGCAAAATTTTTTCCTGAAAAAATAAATTTTGCAACAAAAACCATTTATTCAGGATTCACGGTGAAACATTTCACATTGAGGGCGAGGGTTCCAAATTATCAGCAGACAATCTGTGCCGTAGACATAAGACAGACTTTTGAAAGAAATTCGCTTCTTCTGTCTTTTCCCCTCTTTTCACTTCTATGGCCAAACATTTTGTTCTCTACG